TTTTTCAGCAACCACTTAATAAGTACTTCTTTGCATAATAATTTATCCAATTCCTGTACACACAAAACTAGCTAATCTGTGTGAGTCGAACAAAACCACGTGTAAACAAGTAATATGAAACAAACAAAACCGATTTTTTACTTGCGCAAAGATAATTAGTTGGGGAAGATTAATAAAAAAGAAGAAGAGATAATTAAATGAAAGTATATAGTAAAGTTAAAGAGTATGGAGAGTCCGAAGAATATTTTCTGTTAAAATAATATTACTGATAAGAAAAACATATGAAATAATTATTTATCCCATAAATATTATCTCTTTCATATAAAATTATATGAAGCGTATGTAGTCGTAATGAAAATAAAAGTAAAAGGGCCCAACAACATACATAGTATTAGTCAGCATCTTGACCTAATTGATGCTAATGGGGAATACAAGCAATGGGAGCACTAGCTCTAGTTCCTATAAATACTAGGCTCATCTCTGCTCATAAACCACACAAAGCAACCAAAACCTCTTATCCTCATAGTAGCATTTTAATTCTCCTTGTGTTAATTTCCCTGATAATCATGGGTGTTTTTACTTTCGAGGACGAGACCACCTCTGTTGTGGCTCCAGCTAGGCTTTACAAAGCTCTAGTTAAAGATGCTGATAACCTCATCCCAAAGGCTGTTGAGGCCATCAAGAGTGTTGAAACCGTTGAAGGAAATGGTGGCCCCGGAACCATCAAGAAGCTCACTTTCGTTGAGGGTTAGTACTAGTACACACACATATATACATATGTTACTTAAATATGCTTTATATATATACACATACTATATAATATGTGAGATAAATATATATAGTTATCCGTTTTAATGACATAATTAATTGATCAACAAATTAACCAATTAATTATGTGCAGATGGCCAAACCAAGCACGTGTTGCACAAAATTGAAGCAATTGATGAGGCTAACTTGGCATACAACTACAGCATCGTTGGAGGAGTTGGGTTGCCTGACACAGTGGAGAAGATCTCATTTGAGGCCAAATTGGTTGCAGGCCCAAGTGGAGGATCCATTGCAAAGCTCACTGTTAAGTACCATACCAAAGGCAATGATAATCCAAGTGAAGAGGAGCTCAAGGGTGGCAAAGCTAAGGGTGATGCTCTTTTCAAGGCCATTGAGGGTTACGTTTTGGCCAATCCTGGTTACAACTAAGTGCTTGCTTATATATGGTTGTGTTTGTGGTTAATTTGGCTTTCAATGTAATCTTGCTTTTTCTTTCCTTTTGCTGCGGAATTGTGGGATTCCATGTCGTGTGTATCTCACTTCATCAATAAATTTTACTTACAAAAGAAATTATTAATAAATTGTTAGTAGTACACTACAATGCATGTGAATTATTATTATTATTATTATTATTTTATCCTTTTTAATCCCCGACACTATATTGGGATCATTCTTACAATATCTAACAGAAGAAAATTATTATCAAATAACAAAATTTGGGAAACATAGACGAATTGTTTTGGTTTAGGCGAGTTTATAAATTCATGAGATAAATTTAAGTATTTATTTTATTTTTAATTTATACGATATTTTATTTTCAAAAGTCACGGTTCCTATTTGTACCTTTCAACATGGTGAAGAGAACCGAAATATGGAATGGAATGGGTCGTAAAACGTAATAGCTTTAATGAATGAAATGGCTTTTCAAGTAATTTTGTTATTTGATTTATCATATCAGTATTGTAGATTATAATCAAAATTAATTTAAATAATAATTTATCATGAGAAAATCAAATTTTTTATAAGTAGAAAAAGATCTTTTGTAAAATAGTGAAATTAATGGAATAAAATTAAAAAAAATACAAGTGACGAAATATATATGTTTTGATATAATATAATATAATAGGAAGCACATGTATTAAAAAAATAAAAATAAAAATAGGAAGCACAACAGCAATGCCCCGTCGGTGTATATATAATTCATGATTAATTTTTTTTTCTGCAACCCTAAAATAATATCGTTTGGGGTTTAGGAAAAAAAATACAGGCATTTTAGTAAAATATATGATACAAAAGAAAAATGATATTATTAAAATACATTTTTTTTTCTAAAATCCAAAATGACCTCATGCAAGGAGAAATATTTTTTACTTTATTTTAACCTGTAATTATAATTTCACATAAAAAATGTAATTTACTTCCATATTTTTAATTTTTAATTTTAATGTTATAGTAATATTTAGTCACGTATTATTATTATTAAAAAAACTAACTTTCCTAAACTTTCATAATAATTACTTTAAAAGTCATACTGTTTTTGTAATATAACAATATATAATTAAATGAAAATGTACAATATTTTGTGCAAAATTAAATAGTAAAGTATATCAAAATTAAATTTTTTAATACATAATTGTTTTTTCTTATATTAATTTGATTTGCGTGACTGCGGGGATTAGATTTGTATGGTTTGGTAATAAATTACTAAATTCGTTCTGAGCAAAATAAGCCCAATCAAAACCCCAATGGGTTTGTTATCAAAAAAAATAAAAAAAACCCAATGGGTTAATGAAAAGCCACATTTTGAAGACATAGGACTTGGAAATAGAAAGAGGCTCAAGATCCTCCAACATCAAATTTGTTGGAAATTCCACTCCTGGGTGTAGTTTTGTTCCCTTCCTTGGTGTAGGATTTTTGTTGCCTCTATGTAGGATCGTTCTGAACTTAATTTTTATGTGATGATAAGACCTTGAGGTTTAGGATCTTCAAAGCTTCAAGACTTGTTTCATAAGTAACTATGGCAAGCTGGGACATGAACCAAGATATTGGTGACAAGAGGACCCACTAAAAAGGAGTTCTATGGGATAACAACAGCATAAAGCTTCAACTTTTAGAATGAGATAGAACTCTCTCATGAAATTTCCAAAGTTCTTTCACTCAAGAGAAATGAAGGATTATCAATTTTTGTTTGAATCTTTCGGCAATATTAGCAGATTGTCATGAGTGCAAAAATTAAAAAGGAGGAAAATTTCAACGGAGGGTTTTTGCGAGAACCCAACTATATCTTCTTTAAGTCTACGGGGCACACTCTAATTTATTTAAACGTTTAGGTGGCGTTTAGTATAAGGTATTTTTTAAAATTTTCGGAAAATTGAATTTTTCTAAATTTTTAATTTTCAGATATTATCGTAAACTGAATATTTTCATCATATTTCTAAAAATCAAAATTTTCAGATAAAAAAAAATTTCTTCTACCAAACGCCCTAGTAAAAATATTTTTAGCTAGGAACAATCTGTCAGGAACCAATCTAAGCTATAAGCAACTGCCGTCTCATATAGTTTTAATTGGAATGCTTGAATGAATCTAATATTTAAGTATAAACTCACCCACCGAAAAAAATTATGAATCCCACCAAAATATAAGAATGAATCTTCTTATATATGTTAGTTAATATAATCATGTGATGTGAGAGGACACTATCCATCTATGGACAAATCAACGGTGAATAAAAATGAGAGAGAAAAAATATTAGAATAGAGAATTATAAAATCATTACTGTTGACTTACCTATAAATAGTTAGGATTATCTCACATGACATGATCATGTTAAGTAACACATGATACGATCATTTTCCAAAAAAGATAGACTCGAAATTACACAACCAAAATATCAATATTTTAGTTGGTTTTCAAAAGATATGACGTAAGTAATATTAGTTTTTGAATAATATTAAATTATAACCATGATCTTTAAATACGCATTAATTGATCAAATTATTTTTAAAGTTTTTTGAATGAAAACTAATTTATAAAAATAATAAACATTCAAAAAGATACTACTTAATCCTATTTTTAATCAAAAATTGTTGGGCCAATAACAAAAGCCTTTGGCAGAGAAAGATCTCCATCCAGATATTAAGTGAGATTAGACACTATAAATATATAATCAAATCCAAAATTTTATTAGATGCATGAATCCTTCTATTTATATAATATTCACTCTCTTTATTCTTTTTAATCAAAATGAAACTTTACTCACTCACAGTTGATTTTCCATCAAGAATCGCTCCTTAAGTCAAGTCATGAAAACGATAAACTTGAGTTGCCAATTTTGAAGCAACGGGTCCCTTAGTTTGCTGTCGTTTTCTGGAGCAAAGCGTGGCCATTCGTTGTTTCAATTTGTTTTCAATTTTTTCACTCGATCATCTAATTATTCCTTTGAGTTGAGGAAAAAGATCTCCATCCAGAGATGATTTTGTTATTTTTATTTAAATATTTTCTCTATTCTTTCTAATTATTATTGATTTTTCTATAAATAATTAAAATTCACTCACATAATTATAATAATATTAAATAACCCATGTGAGCTGCAGGTAGTTATATGCTTGGAATATGCCGTCAAAAAACCCTTTAAATTATCCACATATAATTAAGACACGGTTTTTATTAAGAAATAAGCAATAAATAAATAAATAATACGGAATAAAATAAAAAATGTGTTTTTTAAGGGAAAAGTGTTTGTCATTTTAAATGACAGAAAAATATGTCATTTTAAGAGAGATACAGACACAGAAAATTTGAATTTTAAATTAAAAAAAATCACTCATTTTCTCTCTCCCATGATTTCCGTTTTTCTGTGTCTATCTCTCTCATAAAATGACATAACTTATGTCATTTAAAATAACAAACACCAAACCCGTTTTTTAATTATAAAACCATATGTCAGATAAAAAAGACAAATATTAAGATGTTATATTGTTATCCCACTTAAAAAAAATATTTTATAATATGAAAGTACAATTATTATTTGATTTTAATAAGGCCAAATGTTGATCTGTGCTATTTTTTTTTGTCAGGTGCAATACTCACCCTACCACAACCACATCAACATCAACATATTTGTCTATGTAAAGTATTTCAAATCCGCCATCTTTGACTAATCAGTCCAACCCTTAAATTTTCTTATCTTGCCACCCAAATATTATTCCAAAATAAAAAAAGGACACCACCAACCTCACTGAACTTCTTCTTCACCTAACCAGCTAGCACATGATTAGTAAAAGCCATAGCAGCCAGTGCTTTATAATATAATGTTCACCCCTCCTTCTTCACTTCTCATAAGCCACACAACAGCAGCAACCAACATTAACATATTCTCATAACCCTTTTCGTTGATTTTGATCAAGATCACTCATCTTCATCATGGGTGTTGTTACTCAGGAATACGCTACCCCTGCAGCTGTGCCACCTGCTAGGCTTTTCAAAGCCATGTCATTAGATTTTCATAACCTCTTCCCAAAGATTGTTGATATCATCCAGAGTATTGAATTCACTGAAGGAAGTGGTGGTGCTGGAACCATTAAGAAGCTCACCACAATTGAAGGTCAGTAAATGCTACCTTTTTAAACCCATAATATAATATAATATTAACTATTGAAATTAATCATGGGTTATACTTATATGAATGTGATGAAATTAAATAATTTAATGGGTGCAGGTGACAAAACCAAGTATGTGCTGCACAGAGTTGATGCAATTGATGAAGTTAACTTTGTATACAACTTCAGCATAATTGGGGGCACTGGATTGGCTGACAATTTGGAAAAGGTCTCATTTGAGAGCAAATTGGTGGAAGGCCCAAATGGAGGGTCCATTAGGAAGGTACATGTTCAGTATTTCACTAAAGGTGATGCTAAGCTCAGTGAGGAGGAGTTGAAGGCTGGCCAAGCCAAGGTTGAAGGGCTTGTAAAGCTTGTTGAAGGTTACCTTTTGGCAAATCCTGATTACTGAACCTCTTTATAACTAATAAGAGTTTTTAGCTATGGTGCAAAATAATGGCCCAGTTTTTGGATCTGCAGCCTAAGGCTTGTTAAGGCTTTCTTCTAAATCTTTGTTATGACTTGGCCACGTAGATCGTAAATTTCAGTTTCTTAACTTTCTTCAGCTTTTTGCCATATATAATTGAAAAAAATTATATTTACAAATTTTTTGTTTACAAATTTTTACAAAATATATTATGTACTTCAATAAATACACTAGTACATAGTATAATTTATAAAAAAAATATCGTAAACGAATCATTGTATAATTATATTTATGAGTATTGTCTTTTGAATTTTGTGGAAATTGATGTGTTGCCCGCTTGCTCAATTGGGTACAAGATAAACTACGGACTCATGTTGATGAATTATTCGAATTGGCACAGAGAAAAGTTTGCCTCATTTCGAGGAACCTATCCATATACAAGTATACATTATACAACCTGTTGCGGTGAAAAAAAGTAAAATTAAAATTAAAATAATTAATTGCAGAATTAATGTTATTTTTTAAATATTTTATAAAATTAATACAACCAATTCATCAGAACTTGCTATGTGTCAGTTGCGTACAAATTAATATACAGTATTGTGCATCAATGTAGGCACAATTGATTACATACATTAATTAAAATATATAAAAAATGAAATTAATTATATAATTTATTATTTAAATTATAATTTTCAAAATTTGTAGGCAGCCTGGTGCATCTTTTCTAGGAAAATAGAAATCTGCCTAACTGATGACAACACTATCAGTGCCCTCAAACTTTGGAATTTAATGAAAATATTCCTCTGTGTGTTGGCTGAGAGTTTATAAATTTAATTTTAAGTAACATTAATTTTAGTTCAAAATAAGTTTAAAGTAATGTAATTAATATTTATATTTTTTATTTGAACAATAATTTGCATTACATTACATATTTGAACAATAATTTAAACATAACTAATATTATTTGGAACCAAAAGGAACAACTCTAAATTAATATCCTACACCTAGTAGTCGATTATAAAATATCTTATTTTTAAGATTTTAAATTTATCTATTTAGATTAAATAAAGTCAAGAATTAAAGAGGTAAACCTTTTCCTATAATTAACGTTGCTTTCAGTAAACTGTGACTTTTCAATGTTATTATCATTATTATTATATAATATAATATAACAGACTTCAAAAAAGAAAAAAGAAAAGTATTTTAGCGCAGAATATTTTATGCGAAATAAAAACGGAATAAAAATTGGAATATTAATATAGAAAGCGCCAATGATATAGACTTCTGAGGAAGTGACTGATACAAATGAAAATACAGATCACGATAAAGTTTCAGTTAAATGTTTAGGTACGCGGAAATGAGAGAATTCAAATTTTATGTATACCCTTCATGTGCTGAATGTATCCATAAAAAATTATTACTAATAATTGAACAAACGAATTACACCTCTCATATAATTGAGCATGTGAAGAAAAGACATCAGTTTGACTCCAAAACAAAAATAAAAAATCGTCAGGTCCATATCGTGATAACTGATAACAACTCTTAAATATAAAATGTATTTTGCAAGAATCATGAAGAACAAAATAAAATTTAAATCCATAACTCGCAATGCCAAGGCATGCTAATGTCAATTCATCAACCATCAAATAATGTTACTCTTCGGTTCTAGAGAATCGTAAAACTATATTATATAGTATATGTTTAGAGATATTTTAGAGATAAATATTTGAATTGGCTTATAACTAATATTTCAATCCCTGCGCACTATTAATAGGCTTATAGCCAATACTGTGAAGATGTTTGATTAGTAAAAGGAAAAATGGATTCATAAAAAATTATGTTTCATGAAAAGAAAATTTGTTTAGAGGTAAGGTCATAAAGAATGGAACCTCCAACGAATGCAGGTTGACCAAGATAAATGCACATGCGGGCTCTTGAGGAGAGTTTGTGTCTTTGAGAGGTCAATGTTGATGCAAACGAGAGACAACCGAAGACACGCAGGTTGATGAGTGTTGGTGCCTTTCGATAAAGACATTCCTAAGGTGATTTTTGAGCTAGCAAAGGTGCGGCCAAGTGTTTTTGAGTAAAGTGGCATGAGGCACACCAAAGCTCCAAAGAGAGTGTGGTAGGTTTGCTTGAAAGGCAACGGCACATGTGACGTTCAATATATGTTGGTGTTTCCGTTCCACCAAATCATTTTGTTGTGGAGTCTCAACACAACTGGTTTGATGGATGATTCCACGTTGTGAGTAGAAATCTGGCATCATAAATTCCTTCCAGTTATCTGAACGAATGCACTTCAAGGAACTATCAAATTGGTTATGAACATATGAACAAAATAATGTAACAGCTTTCGGGTCTCACTTTTGTGTGACATGAACTTGACCCAAGTGAACCTAGAGAAGTCATCAACCATTGTTAAGAAGTATTTGTATCCTTGAGTGGAAGGAACTGAGAATGGTCCCCAACTTTCCATGTGCAACAACACAAAATTTTTAGTAGACTGAGAATTACTTGAAGGAAATGGTAACCTCTTTTCTCTAGCAAAATGACATATATCACAAAGCTTAATGTGAGTGCTGGGAATGAAAGGAAATTGAGTGCATACATGTTTTAATACACTCTCTGAAGTATGTCCTAATCGAAGGTGCCATAATAAGGCATCATCTTTATTACATTGAAAAGCAAAATTAAAATTCCTGAATTGTAAAGTTGGACTTTTTGTAGCATTGAAGACGAACAATCCACCAACTCTTTCAGCTGTACCAATCGTCCTCAATGTGGTTCTCTACTTAATTAAACATTGTGAGGCATCAAAAGTTAGAGAGCAATTTGAATCATCTAACAATTTTGTCACAGAGATTAGATTAACTCTAAATTCTGGCACAAACAACAAGTTCTTTAAACTAAGAGATGAAGTGACATTAACTACACCAGAATAGGAAGCACTAATAGAAGATCCATTTGGCATATTAGTGAGTATAGGCTTAATCTTGTGGATAGATTGAAACATTGAATGAAGATGTGTTATATGATCTGTTTCCCCCGTATCTAAGAATTAATGAACAAAAGTTTTTCCTGTAAAAATCGAAGGTTTTTCGTCAAGTGAATGGCTTGTGCCATATTGGTGGCATGTGTGACTATGGATTGTTGTATATTGTTAATGAATTCTTCGTATTTCTCCTTCGGAATTGAAACTTGTAACTCTGACGCGTTCCTGCAATCAACAAGAGAGATTATATTACCTTCTTGTTCTTGAACCATGTTGTTAGCAGAATGTTCTTGTTGTGAGTTCTTGGACCGATAGCCTTGAGGGAGACAATGCTTGAAATAGCAAGAGTAAATGGTGTGATTGGTCTTTTTAAAATGGGTGCAATACTTGTTCACTATATTTTGACCTCTACTAGAATTTGAGCGACCTTTGCCTTTATACATGTTGCTACGGCCACGATAACCTTCAGATGAACTTGCAAAGATCTTGGCTTCACTTACATCATTATCGCGCGTTTCTGTCATGAACTGCCTTTCCTATTGCACAACTAAGGAGAAGGCTTTGTTGATATTAGGAAGGAGACTCATCATCATGATTTGAGAACAAACATGGCTGAATTATTCGTTAAGTCCCCTCAAGAATATGATGACTTGATCTGCTTCTATGTGTTCACGCGATTGATCAAGAGTTCCATATGTGCAAGTTAGTAACGGCCTGAGCTTATGGAATTCATCCCATAGCATTTTCAGATTTGTGAAATAATCCGACACAAATTTTTCTACTTGATTCAGCTGGTATATATCCTCATATAGATCTGATATGCGAAACACATCAGACTGGGATAATCTATCTTTTAGGTCGTTCTAAACTTCATAGGCCTTGTCAATCCAGAGAATAGATTGTACAATAGAATCATCAATGGAATGACGAAGCCATGATAAAATCATTGTGTTACACCTCTCCCAAGATGCATACCTTGGATCTTCTTCTGGAGGTGATACGATGGTGCCATTCACGAAGGACATTTTGTTTTTGGATTTCAAAGCCAGAGTAATGGCATGTGACCATGCGTGATAATTCTTGTCACTTAACAATGGCAATACAAGAACCAAAGATGGAGACTCATTCGGATGCAGATGATAAGGATCTACAACTTGGTTTTGTTCAGCCATGAATTCAATAAAGGAAAAATCAGAAGTGGGGATTCAAAAAGAAAAAACATGATTTGTAGATGTGGGAAAAGCTTTGCGGAAGCTGGATGGACTAGAGCTCTTAAGGTGAGTTCTGACACCATCTTATGAATCTTGAGTTCTTTCATCATGAAAATTTGAACGTAATAATGAATATAAATCTGTACTTATACATGAATTAAACTTAGCTAAATTATACACGCAATGAAGAAATGCTACAACTCTAACAAACTCAGTGCTAACTGATTTCTAATTAAACAGAAACTAACTTTCTGACGTGGCTAGTGGCAGAGCCACGTTGTACGTGGATGTGGCCTCCACCCGAGCTAAATTTTAAAAAATTATATTTATCATGTATAATTATATAATTAATTATAATTTGGCTCAGTTTAAAATTGTAATTTGGCCCGGGCTAAAATTTGTAATTTGGCCCTATCAAAAAATTAAAATATATTTGGTGAGAGATTTGAGTAAGTTGTATTAAGTTATGTGTTCTATTTCCATTTATATAAAAAAATTAAAATATAGGGAAAACTTAAAAAAAAAACATATAACTTTCTTCATATTCATTTACTCCCTCTCCAAAATTTTAAATCATTTACCCCCTGACTTAAAGTTTTTTTATCATTTACCCCCTAAGTTAGGGGGATAAATGAGAAAAAAACTTTAAGTCAGGGAGGTAAGTGATAAAAAAAATATAAATAAGGGTGTAAATGATTCAAAAATTTTGTGAGGGGGTAAGTGATAATTAATAAAACTAAAAGGGATTTTTTTGAAGTTTTTCCTAAAATATATTCAATAAAATTTAAAAATATTTAATAAAATTATAATTTTTTTTATGCTTCATGCTCAAGTGTTTTGTATTTAGTATAATTTAAATATATTATGATATGAACTAACTAAAATTAAGAAAAATAAATACACATAAACTTTTAGCGAGCCGGCTCCGCCACTGGA